TGATGCACCGCTTGCTTGATGGCACATGGCAGAGGCTCCAACCACCCTAAGCAGAATTTGACAGCCGTGGAACACGGAACAGGCTGGATGGATTGCGATACATGAATTCAATTCCAGTCACAAACATGACTGTAAGTCCTGATACATTTCTTTTAAAAAGGGTAAATGAACAAAAAATTCCAAATATCGAAACATAAAAGGTTTAATCTTCATTACGTCACAGTATATTTTCTAAATGACCTTTGTTTGCTGATAATAGCCCTGGAATTATTTTTTATTCATGATTTGATTGTCAGAAAAGAGTTTGATTTTGTTTCAACAATATCATAATTAAACCTAAACTGAAAAAAAATTCTTAACAAGGATCATATGGTAAATTGTACCTGTAATATAGGTATTTCCTTTAGTTTTTTCCACCTCATATTTAAACCTGCTGTTCCTTTTGCGCTTATACATTGAATAGGATTTAATACTGTTTAATACTGTTTGAATACTATACTCTTATCCCCAACAATAGAACATTACCTTGATTTCCTCCATAGATGCAGATGAATGTAGAACAGAAAACTATCAGACAGTTTAGTTGTCCATCCATTATTCAGCGTGTTCCTCACCAGGTCTTTTTTCAAATAAGCTACTGCAAGGCCCTCTTTCACTTAACACAAGCTCACCACTTCCTGGCCTCCCACACACTTTGTGAGACTAACCCTCACCTATACATATTTCATATACAGAAGGTTATTTTCTGCACGGTAACCAAGACAAATACAGTGGCCGCCTTTATTCTCTATTATGATTAAGTCTGATCATTTCAGTTGTGTTAATAAAAACGGACTCATCCTCTCAACAAACTTTACAGCTAAATTTTCAACAGGAGCACAGCAGCTCATGAGGAAATCCTCTTGAATTATTCCCAGAAAGTTATACATTTGTTTTCTAAATATTTGATATTCTTGATCAGGGACCACTTCAGTCAGGTGAATGTTTTAGAGTTTATTTTTGATGGGAAATGTTGTTGCTTATGAAAAAAATCAAAGCAATCATTCTCGCTTACAAAGAAGGGGAAAAAAGTGGAAGCTTTCGATTTTCCAAAAGGAAAACAAATAAATACAATTTGTATGAAACCCTTTTTGTGGTTTTAGTTTGCAATATTCATTATTCTTGCACATGGATAAAATGTAGATGTTCTTTTGCCCTTTTTTTCCGTTTTCATGAGGAGCAGCTGGTGTGGATTGAGGCATCTTTCTGTTAGACATTGAGGGCGTTGTTTCCTCAGAGGTATGTGAACCACTCCCAGACTCTCCCAACAGCGCCACCTGGTGTAAAAACACAGCAACGTGTGCAGGATTGTGCAACCTGAAGATGAGTTTAGTCCTTATGATCTTTTCTGCCAAAGATATTTCTAACAAAATCCATTGCAACTGACAATGATGTTTTCATGAACAGCCATCATTTTGGAGACTTTCTAAGTATCTGATTAAAGTAATAGTGTATTGTGTGTTTCTTGTGTTTAGATGTGACTGCTAGAAGATATTAGAGAGGTATTACCTTTTAAACCACCATTAACTTTATTTTCTAACGTGTGCAACATTTTCTTGATTGATGGATTAATTGATTAATATATAAGTAAATTTTTTTTAGTTGGTTGATCTCCTTTTAAAGTTAAATCATACATTTAACTTTTAAAATTTAACCCCCCATTCCTATTTGTTCCAGTGCTTACATTATTGGATTTTTTTGCAACCATAATTTGGATACAGAGAACTAACTCTTATATCTTTGGATAAAGTCATTGATTGCAGGCCAAAAAACACTTTTACTTTGAGTCTAATGTTCTTTGTAGGCATCTTAAATTGCAAACTTTTACCTCCTGTTGATTTACTTGCAATAATGTCCAAAACACAAACCTTTACTGTCACGTTTTCCACTGAGTTTCACAAAAAAAGCTACATGTCAGAAAGATCAGCCTGCCCATTGGTCTCAGCAAGTTGATGCAGAGTAGTGAGGAAATCTATCATGAAGGGGCTCAGTTCTGTTCACCACTTCCTCAACACCCACATACATCCTGTCGACGTGAGCACAACTCGATAGGTCATGAAATAAGAGTCCATTGCATGCGTGTAAAGAAATGCATGCAGAATATCTAAAAAAGAAGAACACAATATTCTTACGAGCTGTCATTTTAGAGCCAAAAGAGCTTTCCCCCATTTTTACAGGCTGTATGTATCCAGATAATAGAATTTGTATTCCAAAATTATATTACTAATAATATATATTATTGCTGTTTGACTTCATGAAAAAATGTTTTATTTCTTTTTGAAGATATTATAGATATATAAAAAAAATATGAGAAACTGATAAACATCCTTTGCTCAAGGGTAAGGAGAAAAAAACTATTAAAAGTTTCCATTGACATTAGGCTAAGGATGGCTTAGAAGTGATATGCTTGACACTAATAAAACTGTCCCCAGCAGTGAGTGTGGGTTTTTACGGTTGTTTATCTCATTTGTCTCTGTGATTGGCCCTGTCTTGGCCCTGTGATGGACTGGCAACTTGTCCAGACTGTATCATACCTCTCACCCAAGACTGTATAGCAGATAAAGTGCATAAGCAGGTATAAAAAAAATGAATGGAGGAAAATTACAAGGGGAAAAAGACAGCGTATCTATAGTGTTAGCTTGTTTGGTCACAGGCATTGATGACAGGCTGGTGAAAATGATTTTACCCTTATAACTATAATGCTTTGTTGTTTTTTATATCTAACCAGTAGATGGTGCAATACAAACAAGACTAAAAATGTTTACTCTTAAATCTCTCTCTTGTTTGTAAGTGTGACCTGTGTGTGTGGAGTGTGACAAAATGACTATTTGAGTTATGGGATCTTAATAGTCAGAAAATGTGCATCTGGAAAAGCTGTAAGCTTAGTGAGCTTTGTTCGTAACAGAGATTAACTTAATTAACTGTTAGACCCAGCATTACTGGGTCTAACGGTAATGCTTTGTCCAGTCTGTAATCACAGACTGGAGGAAGTTTAGCCCTCTGAGAAAGTTAAATATATATGTGTGAACAAAACATGTATATGTGGTTTTGTTCAAGTTTGAAACAGACAAGACTTGTAGATATAGAGCTATAGCCAGCCAGAGACAGATGGTATTTAACAGCCCAAATTAGAAAATTCTGCAGCGTGCATGTTGAAGAAAGAAAATGCTTATGGCTTTCATAAAGTTATTTCTCTTAACACAGCACAACTTGTAGCCTGGACTTTCCACTGCACATTGAAAAGACCAGTGACTTCCTTATAGTCAAGAAAATTTGCACAGCCATGCAAATTAGACTATCTAACAAGGAAAAACACTGATGTTAAGGCAACCTCTACTTTCCAACATCTGTTTATCGCCTGCAGCATCTAACAGCGCAGTTGGGTTTGTTTCCTCAGGCAATGTTTTGCCACCAGGTCAACAGAGCGATAAAAATAGATTTTTATTTAAAGAGGTTATTTGAGCTTCTAAACTATTTAACTAATTTAGTCTTTTGTGGGGTTAGAATTCTTCTACAGGTGGAAGGAGGTTCAGTCTTTATTTTTCTTTTTTTGTGGTGGTGTAGGTTAAAAAGAAATGCATTGCATTTATGGTGCTTCAGTATACAGTATAAAGTAACTAAAGTCAAATGTATGTTTGTCATTCAGGTGGACGAATTCTTTTGCATGTGGTTTTCAAGGTTTTCATCTACATTAGTCATGCTACCACAGGCGGTCATGCAGGAAATCAGAATAGCAAACAAGTTCACAAACCTCCAGTTGTGTCGTCTCCTGTCCCTCCCTCCCTCTCTCTCATTTTCTCTCTCTCTGTCTACTCACCCTCACTGCTGGGCCTGAGTTCATTCTGATGTAGAAGCAGAGAGATTGATGAGATCAGTGTCTACTACGCTGTCGTGTTTGGGGCTGGAACTCTCTGAGGGGATCATTATGGGAAACTGCATCTCT